AAACAACAAACAAATCCTCAGTGATGGTTGCAGAGACATTGTCATAAGGCAACAGAACATGGGTAGGCCTGGGGAAGCAATCTAATCATGAGGTTCCTAACCATAGGCAAAAGGACAAAATTCACATCTTTATTAAGAGAGTAGCAAGGTGCACTGTAATTCCAGGTGTGATATATGAAAAGGTATAGCATGATAGACATAGGATATGCATTCTTGCAAATCTAATAGTCTTTTTATTAATGATAATTGTCATAAGACTAGCAATGTTTTGATACAGATTTCCTTATAACTTGGGCTTAAATATTTCCATTAAACAGGATGCTTTGCTAAATTATACTTAGTGAGCAGATTACTTTATCCTTACTGTTGTTTCTGGCCAATTTCCTCTGATCAAAGTAGAATCAATTTCTGGAACTCTGCATTCAGATCTAGAGAGTGAAAGGGTCTCAGAAGACATTCTGGCAATACCAAAATGCCGTCATCTCAAGCCAGCTCCTACCATATTCCGAAGGGCTGCTTTGACTTGAGAGTGCAACTGCGTCATGGCATGGTGCTGCAAGAAGGCTTGCAGTGCTCTTTTTGTATAACTGGGAGCTGTACTTCAAGCAAGATCATTCACTCTCATTTATAATTAACAGTTACAGTGCACCCAACTCCTTGTACCTCTTGTTTTGCTGCCTTAAACATACTCTCTGCATGCAGATTGTTACAGGGACACATCATGCTCTTTCCTAGCCTCAGCTCTTGCTTCTTTTAATGCTTATGCTAGCCTAAAGCAAGAGTCAGTGCGGCAGAGAGTGTCTGTTCCCTGGAAGGAAAGCAGCATTACAGTGGTACCTGTAGGTGAATGATTTCTCTGCATGTAGGAAGGCGGGTATGGAGCAGCCCGATGCCCTCGCAGTGCTGAATATCGCTCGCAGCTGTGGGGAGTGTGTGGAGCTGGCAGAGGCAAAGGTCCAGCGTACTGATAATTAGAGCTTCCTGATGCACACATTGTATCTGGGTTGGAAATCAACCAGCCACCCACTTTGAGGGGAAAGAGAAGAAAACTATTATTGCGCTAAAACACTGCAATACAATAAAGAAAGTAACCAGCCCTCTTGCAGAATCAGCTGTGTCTCAGACATACCAAGTGGACTGGATTACAAGATACTGGTTTGTGGAACAACTGACAATCAAAAAAACCCTCAATCCTCAAAAAAACAACCACCTCCCAAAAAACGAAAACCACCAATCCTAAAAAAAGACCTGAAAACAATTAACAGAAAATGTCACAAACATCAAAGAACAAATGAAACCTATCATTAAAACAAACACAACCTCTGCTCCCCCCATTTCTTTTTTACCTGTTCACAAATGAAAGGTAATTTTATATGTGACGAAAATATTCAGTTACAAATACAAAAGAAAAAACAGGGAGAAAGCCCTAAAAATGTCATACATCATCTTGACTCTAGATTCCTTTTAATATTGAAAGACTAGATCATAAGGAAAACGTTCCCTCTGCAGAAACTGTCACATTGTTTCCTACTGTGAGGTTTCTTCAATTTTTTTTTTTTAAGTGTCCCTTTCTATGAACACAGTTCAGGACTCAGTGAATGACCGGTATGATCCAGTTAGGCAAGTCCCAGGTTCCCAGCACCTATCATATCACACAAAACTTCCAGCTGACACGAATAAAAACCTTACAGTGAGAATATGTCATATGTTGACCTTCAGAGACTGTTTCTGGAGCATCCTTGGGATGGTTTCTGAAAAGCAAAATACTTAGTAGTAAAGCTTCTCATTGAGAAATGAGAACTGTTCTCTAAACTATTCACTAAACAAATAGAAAAGTAAGTTAAAAAGGAGGAAAGGCCATCTTCTTTAACCACTTGCTAGGCTGCAGTAGACTGCCATAAAGGAAGCAGGAACTTATGCATGTTTAATGGCATATGTAAAAATGTTCCTAAGTTTGTGCCAAATTTGAGGGCTGGACCTGGACTTCTAAATCTACCTGTGGGCACTGTTCCTGCTTGCATCAACAGCCTCAGCCTGGCCTCCCACCCAGACCAAGGCAGGGCTCTGCCTCCTGCTCAGCCAGGCAAGCCAAAGGCAGCATTCACCCTCCACAGCTGGAAACCCTGATGCTGAGACGCAGCAGCTTCTTCAGTGGTGAGAGGAATGGACAGAAATGCAGATTCTCCTGCAGGCATGAGGGACACTTCACGTGTCACAAGATATAGCAAGTCCAAACAAAATTTATTAGCAATTATGGACTGGAATGCATCATTTGGATGCCCCATTGTATTAGTGTGGATGATGCAAGTAAAACTTTGAAAGATAAACCACTATTCATTTCCAATGGAAGCACCTCTAACATCTTACATAGTTAGCATCTACAGGTTACTTTTAATAAACACATCATATATTATCACGCAGATTTAATAATAGCAATTTCAGTTACAGTTACAGTGCAATTTCACTCCAGTTATGCTTTTTGACATCTGTAATTAACTTCTATTCTCCCTCAGCTATCAAATTATGGGATTCATTGGAGTGCAAGTACAATGCAGTGAACGTACACAGTATATAACATTACTGGGGAAATTCACACCATCTCATTTCAGGCTGCCTGTGTAGACAGTGATAAGTCCTAGGATCCCCAAGAGGGTATTTACCCACTTCAGACCCTATTGTAATAATTATATAGAGAGTCTCCCCACTAATATCATTGGAGTGACTCTGGATTTAAGACAGTAGAAACAAGATTAAGTTATATAAATTATCTTTCACATTGTGATACCACAGTTTTAACCATATCAGCAGCAAAATGCTACTGGAACAAAAAAGATGAACTCACCTTTCTTTTGCATCCAGGAAGGCTTTGGCAAAGGGATTATACTTGATTTTGAGAGCTGTTATCTTGAGTTTACAGAAAACAAGGCATGTTAGTGAAGGCAATTTGGAGTAGAAACTTGATAAAACATCTTCCAGAGTAATCTAAGTGGACCTGCCTTGGTTCGCCTGACAAAATATATCCCCACACATGATGTTTTCCAGGGCTTGTTAGGAGAGAGCTTTGCTCGTTGCAGAGTGCTTTGTACTGATCAGTGCCACAGTCAGGGCAGCCTAATGGCATGGTCCAGTCTGGGAAATCCTGTGGGATGGCGGATCCTTTCAAGAGAGTTTAAACACTGAATTCCTACCAAGTATGAATCAAATCTGGAGCAACACTAGCTAAGAGATGTGGCACGTGAGTTAGCAATTGTCACAATCCAAAGCATCCCTAATTACAGTTTTGGGGTTGGGAAGAAATTTTCCCATGGAATGTTGCGCTGTTCTGCAATTGTATGTATTATAAGGAGCGGGGAGAGATAGGGTTATCGTTATAACTATCAGTCATTGCTGGAGAAAGATATTGGACTCGACTGTAGTTTTTTCTTTCCAGTAAGGGATTGGGATGCCAGGACAGATGGACCAATCTGGAATAGCCATGGCAGGATATTAAGCTAAACTTGGCTTAGTACTGCAGCCAGACACTAGACTAGACAATGTTCTACTGCAGAGAGAAGGCAGAGTATTAGACTGGATGGAGCATTACACTGCATGGGACCAGTGGGGATACAAGAAAGGGACCAGTCTGTCCGTGCTGATCTTGTAGTTAATAAACTTTTAATGTATCTCCTCAATGGTGACCAAAAGCACAGTGTGGCGTCCGCCTACCTCTTCATTTTGATAGGCAGTCACAGCTATGAACTGCGTCTCAGGGAAGGAGCAGTTCATCACCATCCGGTGGGGGCCTCCTACACGAACTATGTGCACCTGGGGCTCATATTTATGCAGGGAGTTCAACATTATCTGCAGAAAACAAAACAGAGAGACAGACCCCAATGCCACTGTGGTATCCCACAGCTGCTCTTTTGCTCTGGCTCTGCAATAGACCAGATGTCACTGCCACACCTCCCCGGTCAGTGATCACTGAGAGCAGAAGGGCAGGTGCCTTCCTCCCTTCTGGTGAACCACAGGGCTGAACAGAATGAGACTTCACAGGACTTGGATTTAAAGCTTTCGATACAGCAGCATTAGTGAGTTAGCAGCTATGGCCTTCAAACCATTGGGCTTCCACTGCACTAGAGGCTGTTGAAACAGTTAAGGGGCAATCCCTGTCCTGCTTCTACTATCTGAAAGACTCAGAATCACCATCACAGAAATTACACCCAGGAGGGAGCTGGGGCAGTCACCTAGTCATCTTTCTGGGCAAGATGAAGTGTATCTAAACAAGCCTCGGCAGTTATCTCTAACCTGGCATTAAATGCTGTGAACAGTGTTGATTCCACGATACACCTTCCTCAGGAAGTCTATTATAACACTTCATTTTCTCTACTGCAAGAAAAAGATTTTTTTAAAAAAAGTCTGCGCTTTGGAAAGTGCTGTGTGCATACATGTATGTACATGGAAGAACGCAGCCATCAGCATAAGGCAGTGCTAGTCAGCCATTACTTTCTAATAACACCACAGAAGGGGAAGCTGAAGCACAGAGCGGTGACATGGTTTACCTTAACATCGTTGTCAAGATTCCAAAAGAAAACAATGGGAGCTTCAGTCATTTGTTATTTAGTGACTTTTGCTTGGGCTCTGTTTCTCATATGGTTTTTCCTCCCCTGCTTTCTACTTTTTTCCTCTTCATTTCACTATATATACATATCGTGTTCCCGTTTTTTCCCTATGGTCTCTTTGGCCCTCCAAGTTGGTTTCCTGTAGGTTTTTTATCCCCATGCATACTTTTATGAGGCCTTTGACTTTTCTGAGGTCCTGGATGCAGGACAAGAATTTTCAAATTCAGATCCTCTTCTATGCTCCACAGTAAATCTTGTGTGCTGATTCCATGTGTGACTTAGGAAAAGTCAGGTCATCTTTCTGTTCTCCAGTCCGTAAAAACTGAGATAATTTCCTTCCTAATTAGGGTACTAGGCTTTAAGGAGGTACTTCACAAACCTGATGGTACCTCACAGCCTAATATTTACGTGAAAGAAATTGATTCTGGGCTGACAAGTATCATCCAATGCCGGAGTTTTGTACAAAACAAGCAAGCAAACAAAAGGTCTTGTGCAACATTTTACCTTTAGATGCATCATCAAAAATAAAATACGAAACAAAACTAATTTTCCTGTTTGCATTTTTAAGGGGTTCAAAGAGAAAGTCACTTATTTCTGGTACATGTGGTTTCTTTCCAAAGGCCAAAGCTGATTCAATAGAATATTGATAATTATCATGATGCAGAAGCAGACATAGTAATTATTTCATTTAGGAGCAGCCTTTTATTCTGCTATCTGACTCCTGCCAACATTCCACTTACACCAAACAACATGGGGGAACACAACAAAAACCTAATACCCGTGACTATTTTTTCCCCCTTCTCTGAAGTCCTATGTAAAAATCCCCAGCACACAAGACCAACTCTGAAAAGCCCCCTGATGATTAAGTAAACCACAGCACTCTGTCTCTTTTAACATCAAGAAGTCCATTAAAATCTGAAAGCGCCAATTAAGGCCTGTTTATTCCTGTTTACATTTGGCCTCCAGAGAATAATTGGCATCTGTGGGTGAAGAGGCCTGTAAGGGCCTCTATAATTACATAAATGCACCCTTGATATTTCTTGATTGGTAGGTGCTTGCAATTGAAGCCAAGAGGTGTATGGGGAAACATCAGGCCATACCTGCCCACTCCCATTGAGCTTGTTGGTGAGTTTGACTTTGCTGAAGGAAACGGCAGCTTTCATCCAATGGGCCCCGAAGTTGGGAGAGTCTGGGTGGATGTAGACACAGCTGTGGTTTGGTGGCTCTGGTTTCCCAGCCGGCACCCATTCTCCATTGACATACTTCCAGCGGTGGCCATCAGTCGGGGCGAAGTCCAACAGGAAGGAATACATGGCGTTTGGGTCCAAGCCTGACACACTGATCTTCAAAACAGGGAACATCCGCCTGGCCAGGAAACAAAAAAGGGGGACATCACTGGAAACTGGTTTTAAAAGACTCTCCTCAGTAAACATCCTCCCTCCCTCCATCTAGCTAAAGAGGTCTCTTAAAGGTTAATCCTTCATTTTATTTTTATTTTATTTCAATCATTTGGAAAAAAAACATGTTATCCCTAAAGCAGGGCACTAAGGTCTTGATCATGCCAAGAGTTACAAACATAATGAACTGTGTATAGCATCAGCAGAGTCCATGGGATCTGGACATGCTAAATACATCCTTGGGTGTGTGACAAGAAGGCATGAACGGGATTGAACAGAGTTGAAAATGGCTGAGGAGGTAGAGCTGAACCACAGATTCACTGCATTAACTGCAGAATCCTATTACAAAGTGCACTTCTTTGGTACTTAGATTCCCCCAACACACGCTCCCGTACTCTGTCCAGTGGCCAAGTCCCACTTTGTCTGACTCTGGATACACCCTCTGAAATCACCCTGCAGTCTTCAGCGATCAGGACATAATCCCAGTCATGTTACTCATCAGACTCCAGTTAGATTTATTGACCACGCTACTCTACACAAAAGGTTTTTCTCCCTTCCTTTGAAGGGATGGTCATATTCTATAATTTTGTGAGCAAAGTCAGTCACTTCCCTCTATCATTTCCTGTGGTTCTTGTGTTAATCGCCAACATCTCCCACTTGACTTAACGGTTTCCAGGTAGCACTATTCTAAATGCCCTAATAAGTCTGCTACATTTTCCTTGTCTAAAAATACTTTACTTTATCAGGGTTGTGTCAGGTTAGTCTGGCATGACTTAAATTTAATAAAATGGTTTTTTATCTTATTTTCCATTGTGTTCCACATATTTCATTACTCTTTCCTTCAAAATACATCCTGAATTCTTATTATATAGGGATATATTAAAAAGTCTGTAGTTAGCTGAAATGTGTTTTCTCCCTTTCTTAAGTGCAAGTATTCATGTACTGTCCTACTACTATTACATAAATCTCCAGTTTGAGAAGTCTGGTTAAAATACTTGCCATTAGATCTTGCACTTGGCAGTTCTTCCAGTAATTTGTTCCCATCCTTCCATATTGCCTGACCTCTTGAGCTTGAGCAGGTTCTTCTGCTTTTAGTTCCACCTTAGATGTAATGTTGTCCTTTACTAAGCTCTAAACATCTATCAACCAGCCTTCCCTCCATCTTCTGCATTTAAAACTGAAATCCTGCCTTTGCTTAGTTTTGGGAAAATGTTCATTTTGTGCTTAAAGGTCCAATGCCACCTTTTCTCAATCCCCTTTTAATAATTATTTTTTCTTTTGTAAAGGAAATTTGCAGCAGCTTACAGCTAGACTTTCAGCAGTTTTCTGTCTGTCCCAGTACTTGTGATCCATACCATACAGCTTTGAACGGGCATCTCAGGGCCTGAACGTCTGCAGCAAAAGAGTTAGCAGGGCTCCAACAGTTTCAGGAACTGGGAAAAATTTGTGGTCAGCAGAACAGAGGAGTCTCCCAACAAAGGTATCCTATTCATTAAGTTTCTTAGCTTGGCAAGGAATATGCGTTGTTACCGTGGAGGATTATTATAGCTGTTACGAATCACCTCCTACATTCTTATATGAATAAGAGGGCTCCCTGCCCCAGACATCTCCGTACTGACCTCTCTTGGCAACTGCCATTTTGCCATGACACATTTTTATGCACAGACCATTGAATCTTCAAGCTCCTTTTCTGTACGGGTAGAGAGACTGGTTACACCAAGCAACCACAGCAGTTGCCTGAGGTCCGTGGCCATGGAGTTAAGGTAAGGTAGCTCGCTAGGCTTAGTTAGGTAGCAGTGCAAGATGTCCAAAATGCACAGGAAGGGTACTGAAACTCCAGGCTCTCTTAGGGGACACCGAAAGTCTCTGCCCCTGCAGCCATACTCTCCAGTGACACCCACATGCAGATTGCTAACAATCTCCTATGACATCCCACTCACCACCTGCCTTTCTGAACACCTTTATATAATCCTTGCTGTATACATTCAGCACCTTCTGCTGACAGGAAAAGACAGGACTTGAGAAATTTGAGATTTTTCATCTAATATAAATACTTGGTGATGTCAGGCCATTGCAACATTGAGAAAGATCATAGAATCATAGCATGGTTTGGTTGGAAGGGACCTTGAAGACCATCCAGTTCTAACCCCCCTGCCATGGGCAGGGACACCTCCCACCAGACCAGGTTGCTCAAAGCCCCATCCAGCCTGGCCTTGAACACTGCCAGGGCTGGGGCATCCACAGCTTCTCTGGGCAACCTGTGCCAGTGTCTCACCACCCTCACCATGAAGAATTTCTTCTTAATATCTCATCTAAATCTTCCCTCTTCCAGTTTCAAGCCTTTGTCCCTTGTCCTATCCCAACATGCCCTTGTAAAGAGTCCCTCTCCAGAGATATGTTGAACCGTGATCTAACTAAACAGAAGCTCAGCCAATGATTTATATGCTACATTTAATGTGTCTTTCTGACCAGGATGCAACAGCTATCAAACTGGGATGTGATAAAAGGTACGGATGCATTGCTCCCTGCACCCCCCAGATCCCTTACAGTCAGTCTTCAAAGTAACACACTTAGATATTTAGCTGAAATTGAAGTGGAGGGGAAAATACATGCACACGAAAGTTTAATTTCACTAGATTTCTCAGAACTATTTGTTACATACAGATTAATTGCTCTGCCCGCAATACAGACTTCTCTGCCTTTCTACTTGAGAGGCTTCAGTTTATCCCCAAAAGACCTGTAGACTAATGCCAGAAGAGAATACAGTCATCATCACCTCTAACCTCCTGTATCACAGAGATTATAGCACTTCCCTGCGTTAACCTGCTTCACACAGTTAATCCCATCTCACTTGGACCAGCATGTCTTGACTGTACAAATTTAACAACGGACAACTTACCACCTCACTTGTTCTGCTAATTAAGTGGCTTTACTGTTAAAATCACATTTGCCTGTCTTTTAGCATGGCAAATTACGATTTCTCCAAATCTGTTTCAGTCAGAATGTTTGTTTCAATGCTCAGGTAGGCACACACGTGACCTCCATTACTGCAATAGCTGAGCACTTCAGCCTCTTCAATTTATTTAGAGTAGATCTGCTACAATTACTCCACAGTACAGAACTTGAGTGGGAAAATGTTTGATATCAAACTTGAATGTGTAGTAACCAGTGAAGTTGCTTTAGCATTTAAGCCTGGAAAGGGCTTCTTTCCCCCCACTCGCGTTTGATTCTGCATTGATCCACTGTGGATTCTCCCCATATGCAGGAGGGAACAGTGGCACCTTCCTGCCTGCAGGCAATAACGTGGATTGCAAAGTCTCAGGATGCTGCATAGCTAATATGGTATAAACACTGAGAGAGAAAACCTGCTCAATCAGAAAACAGAGTGTTTGATATTGGAATGCCAATTGAATACAATATATCGGAGTAAAATAGGAGACCGATTACCACCCCACTGTATCAGCTGCACCCATTGGGATGTATTTTGTGATATAGTATGCGGTTTAATTTCACTGATGTCTATCCTGTTCAGAATATATCTATCTTCCCTCTGTACCTAGGCATATTGCTAGGGCGGGTGGTTATTATAATGAAGTATGATACAGCGAGAGAGACATATCTAGGTATTAACACTGAAGATGGTTCATCTAATTATGACATTTTGGGACCCTCACTACCAATTAGAGATGACTCAATCACAGCAGATAGAATTGTGCATGCTAGAATTTGACACTTGAGGATCACTAATCAATCAGCCCGTCATTCTCTGGGTTGCTCCTGTATCAGGTTTCGGTTTAACTTCTGAATTTTGCTAACAATGTGTCCGCACAAACTGTCTTAGTTTTCACATGCAGAAGTTCAGACTGGCTCTTCTTGTTAATCGTAGAACACAGTTTTCAAAAGCGTTCATATAGCCTTCAGCAAGAATGACTGAGTTAGCTCTGCTGATTTAAGCAGCAGCAGAATTAGATCAATATTTTTTCTATCAAGAATCCCTCTGGAGACAATCACTGAAGAATCTTGAACCTGAAAAAAACTCAGCACTCACAGGAAACTCTCTCAAGTTTGTCTCCTTTTGAATAGCATGGACTTGTTCAGAGAGCTTTGCTGCAGGCCACTGTCTGTATTTCGCTTTTTTGGTGCGCTGATGTGTTTGTTACGGAAGATACTTTCAGAAACACACGAGATCCTTTTTCATAGCCCCTGATGCTACAGTAACTTTGTTAAAAGGCTTTACGCAGGTGACAGTGTGACATACTTTCGTAATTTTTTTTTTTGAGATTGCTGTAGTTTGATCATAAAGAACCTATTCCTGCCTCCACTGACATTACTAGAGCTGTCCCTGGCTTTTGGAAAAATAGGATCAAGCTGATAAGGAGTGTGTAAGTTAGAATAAAGAAAAATAAGGCAGTTTACACAATGAAATAAAAAGTAACCAGGCATATTCAAATAACGAAAGATTCCCTTATCATCATCATAAAAACATTGTATCTATGCACTCCCCGAGACATTTTAGAGAGAACTAGTATCACCATGCAATCATGATTTACATTAGCTGAGAGAAAAGAAACTGAAAAAACCCTGCTGGTAACGTGCAATTCTTTGTACCAATTTAATTAATTTGAGGCAAATCTCTCTTACTTCATTTTTGGTCACTTACGCTCCTAAGGAGTCAGTTTAAGCTACCGTACACTACGTGAAAGTCTACTCAGGAGTTCGCTGTACTCTAACAGCAATTTTTAAGGCAATTTAAATGAAGCAAAAGCAGCTTCTTGGTGTAAAGAGAACCTCAGCAGAAGTCTTCTATCCCTATAGGTTATTAGGAGGAATCAAAATGGCAATAGGCAGCGTTACACCAAGAGCTGATCTTTTGGGAAGGTAGCTGTTGTCTCAACAGAATAATCTTGCTAAGCCAACAGACTAGATTTTTCCTTTTAACTGCTTTCACCTATGGCCCTTGTCAAGCTACAGCCAACAGTAATATTGTCCACAAATTCTCCTAAATCAAAGTCTGCAAAATTAATAAAGGCCACACCACATGAGTAAATCTTTCTCTCCATCTCTTAATTCCTTTCTCCCATGCAGATCTCCTGAGCAGTTTCACAGAAGAAATGTGTGCATGTTGGGGGGGGGGTGGGGGGTGTGACGGGACAACACACACAGCAGAAGGATGGCAAGGGTACATTAAATAAAAACCTTAGTACCACTGTACCAGCAAACCTTATTCTAGTAGCTGCCTGTCTGCTATGGGCTGGACTCTGCTGTCAGCCCAGTTCAGAGCAGAGCCTCTGTGGAGAGCCTCCTTTCAAGCCAGTGTCTGATTCAGAATTAGTATCCTTCTTGCTAGGTTTTAAACTCTTTTCCTATGCCTTTCTGTGTTCCCCAAATAGTAAGATATGTGATCCATTTACATCACAATATTTTGTCTTTCTAAAACTGTGTGTTAACCAACAGTCTGTATTTGTTTCTAAGGGCACCAGCAACAACTACGGAGCAATACCACTGTGGGACCACACAACCCGGACTGCACATACATGCCACGTAGGGCACAGTTTTATTGTACCCCGTTCTAGTACAGACTGTCTGTACAAGTTGCTAATACCCAAGACCAGAGAGACAGGAACTGCAGTGGGGGATAACACCACCAATCTGCTTCTGTACAGTAATTTGAGGTCTACAGGTAAGGACTTGCTAATAAAGGCTGATGATTGTTAGTGCAAGAAGTTACTCGAAAGGTTTTTAGAGGTACCATCTACTCCCTTGCAGAAGTTCCCTTTTTGTGCAACCTTACGTCAGTCAATGTATTTCTCCAGCATGTTTCACAAGCAGGAATAAAGGGTGGCAGGAATGGTTTAGCAGTGACCAAAAAGGAGCAGGGACACCCCACTCTGTTCATATGCTGGTTTTAGGGGACTGCGAGGCTGCAGGGATAAAATAGTTAGGTGCTCATTGGAGTTCTTTTGTGTCTGCACACACAGTTTATTATTATACCATTTAACCCCCCGGCTACACTTAGCCCACAGTGCTGAGCAGATCACTCACCTGCCGTTCTTGGTCACGATCATCTCATTAGTGACTTCCCTGAATCTCTGCCAGAGCGTCGCATCCTCTAAGACAACCTGGAGCTGTTTCTCGGTGGGATCGCCTTTGTCTCTCCCAGCCCGGAGTTCACTCTCCACTACGCTGAGTAGCCTGGAGACGGTGCAGTCGCTGGGTTTTTTGCAGCCCAGGTCTGCCATGACAACTTTACTGCCAGAAACTTCAGGTAGCTGTTAAAAGACAAAAAAAATGAGCTAAATCAAAAAACAAGTCAGTTCATTGGGCACCATCTGACAAACGTGCTCTCCTCACTCTTTTGCCACCGACTAGCTCTTTCCTCTGGAAGTCCCAATGGGCAGTGACACCAGCGTGTGGAGGTTTACGCACACACTCCACACAAAAAGAGGACTATCTCCTAATTACCTGTCAGACAGTCAGGTGGGTGGCAGGCTGATGACTCAATTGGCTGCCTTGAAAGAAGAGTCCTCCATCCAAATTAGCATGCTTTTATCTTTTTTCAACCTGAAGTGGGTCTAATTGTTCTGCTTGAGAACCAGGTTTCCATTAATGAAAATTGTGTCATTTCCAGACTGAAACAATGCATGGAAATTGCATTCACGCTGATGCGGACTCTAACTGAAGGAGCTGGTAACAGTCAAGATAGTTACACGGAGAAGGTAGTCTTAAACTATTTTCACCAGGCATGTTGAATAAACACATTAACCTTGTTCCTCGATGTTCCTAAATCAAAATGTAATAGTAAGAAACCCTTCTGCACTGAAGTTTCAATGCACGAGGAGAAGGTAGCATCCCTACACTCCACCGTTGATGCCTACTGTGTCCATCCCTTGGTCCCACTGTCATTCATGAAACCCCTGCAGCACTTACAAGCAGTTGAACTCTCCTCTGGCTGCATTTCCAGGGATAGACCCCATGCTCCTGAGGCTGGGTGTGAGCCTAACTGCCTGAGGCCTGGCATTGCTGACCTGCTCAAGGTCCATCTCATACAAAAGCTCCCTCAGCATCTCTAAAACAGGCATTCCCTCTCGCCTCAGGCTGAAACCTTCTCTGATAAGCCTAATCCAATTGCACATACCTTTCACAAAGAAGCAAACATTTTACTCAGAAGTCTAACAATTTTGGCGCTCAGGCAAGGATATGAGAGGCCTCCATCTAGTTCCATGCCAGAGGGCTAAGTGGAGGCCACATGAATACTGGTGACCTGTAAACACTGGACTTTGGCCCATAACAAGGCATTCGAGTGCCCAGCTTCTGATGCATCTAGCTCTGATAGTGTCTCTGAAATTTCTGGTCTGTTGGACATGACATATTCAGGGACTTGATTATGAAAACATACTGTTGGAAGTCATTTTTACAGAAATAAATTTTCTGGCTACTTACTGAGAAATTTGCATTTTTAATTCAATAGCCCCTATTGAATTCCTGTGCTTCCATTTCTTTCTAAAAGATGAAATGACTTGGTGGATCACTGATGGGATTTATAAAGACAAGCAAGAGCCTGGCAAACTTTGTAAAACAGGATTTAAGTTAAATCCATCATTTGACAAGCCCCAAGAGATCTTGCAGTTAAAAAACCTGAGCGATACCATCTACCTAAGCAGCAAGGGCCAGAGCTTGTTGATCTTATTTGTGTTGTATGGCACCTTATTTGGCAACTAGTCCTACTCAAGCCTATCCCTCAAGCCTTACTTGGAGTAGGGATACTGGCTGCAAGTCCTCAAAACTGCACAGCTAAAGGTGGGCAGCAATGTGACGTTCTGCAGAACGGGACACTTTGGGAGCAAGCTCTCAATTCCTAGCGATCTCAGCACCATCGGAAGGTGCAAGCCAGACAGGTCTGAAGTATTTTTACATCTGGGTAACCCCAATCATGCTACTTTCAAACTTCACACTCTAACACATCTTGCCCCTCTTCTTTTCAGCCTTTATGTACCTTTTTTTTTAAATTGTCAACTCATAACAAAATTACCTAAATTACTCTTATCAGTCAAGTCACCTTCAGAGTTACACTAGAAGGTTTCAAATAGCAACGTCTAGTTAATATCCAGCCCACTTTCACTGTTGAACAACTGAATAATGTACTTTAAAATCTACAGGATAGGTGGGTACTTGGAAGTGTACCACTTTGCATTTGGAAAAATAATTGCATCTCAGGTAGTATGTTTGTGTACCGAGGAATATGTTTATGTTTGGGTTCTCCTTTCCAAATGCTCAAAGAGGAGAGAGAAGCTACTACTGTAATTTTTCCCTGCATGTGATCAAATGGCACAGCAAATGCACAGGAGACTATGTGAGACAGTTTTTAGTTTCATTATATTACAAATGTAAATAAACACAGAAATCAGATTCAATCGGTCTTCCTCAAGATGCTTAGACCTTAAAGGAAATCAAAAGCATGCACAAAAGTGACAACAGTTCACATTGGTGGAAGGATTTCAAAACGAGGCAGTAAAACACCGTCTCACCAGCAGATGCTGGTGAATCACTGGAGGTAAAGAATATGCCCAGCAAAGATAGATTGGAAATGGAGGCAGCCACAAAAGCAAGAGAAAGGGAAGTCCTGCCCTGAGTGCATTCCTTGCCCAAAGCCCTGCTAGGACAGAGTTGTGGAGAAGGAAGGACATACAGAAGGAATGGATCATGGACCCATTCCAGTAATGGGCTGGAAAGCAAATTTTTCAGTGATAGGACTGGATTTTTATAGCTAGCATCCCCAAGGGAGAAGCACAAAGGCATTTGCTTTGGAATATCATACTAAAATTTGCATCCTGCACTATAATAAAATGAACTTTCAGATACTAAGTTACACCTGGGCGCTTAATGGTTATGAGTCACACAAGGCGCATGATGCTTGAAAGTCTTGTGTCCCAGAGGAAAAAAAAAACAACACACAAATCTAATCTCTTAAAATACCTGACTTTCATACATTTTGAGTTTTAATTTTATAACTATGTTACCATAGCTTACGATGTCCGCAACCACAACATTTTCCAAAATTAGAGTAGTTACCTCTGGTTGGCTAGTGTGAATAGCCCAGCTGCTATTTTCAGCATGGGGAAGGGTGTTTCAGCTCTAAGAGTTCAGACGAAGAGCAATTTGTGATGTAGGTAGCAACATATCCAGAAGGCACACCTCACCACTGACATATCTTTCCACTCTAGAAGAATTAGCCAAAGAAATAACAGGTTTGCATGCATGCAAATGATCAGCTGAATGCTCTTGGGCCTGAGATTTTACTTTAAAATACATATCCAGACCCATGTGAATCCCATCCCACACATCAGGCTTTCTTGCATCATATGTTGTCTCTGCTTCACACAGCTGCCATGGGAGAGGGCTGCAAAAGAGAAACCAGATAGATTCATAGTCAAAGTTATTTGCTTATTGTTGGCTTTTCATTTAAAAAAATACTAAGGGTGGAAATACTTACTTTGACTATTTAGCCTGTTTTAGGAGAAGTAAGAGACATCCTCTAATCTTATGTCCCTCTGTTCACCTAAATAACAACTTTGAATACTTCCCAAATATCCCTTCTCTCTCCTACTTTCTTGCAAGATTAATTTTTCCAAGTCTACAGATGCTGAAACTGAAGCACAAACAGATTAATTTCACCGAACATAGGTATTGCCGGGGTACTGAGAATAACCCATTCAGTTATTCAGAATAACCCATGTCAGGTGGATTATTTCTTGTGCTGGAAGTTAAATCTCCATAACCTGACATTTGAAGAAAAGGTAGCGGCACTTCCAGAGTAACACAGTAACAAGGTGACTGACAATCATTACCACTGCAAGTGGGACAGAGCAGGGCCGAACGATGGAAGACCATTACCCCTCTCGCACTTGTTTCCATTTAATTAAACAAGCAAAGCAGTAGGGGCATCAGAGGGAGCAGAAAATGCTCATACAAAACCTGTAATATTGTAAACTTTCCCTGAAACCCAGCTGGGAGAGCTGGGCACTTCCAAGCACGGATCAGACACCTCGTGGCCCACAGCCAGTCAGAACTAACCCTTACTAGTTCAAAATGCAAGTACAACACTCATAATCACCTCCAGCCATGTCCAGGATTTACTAATGAGAATTTAGTGACTCATACTTCTAACTGAAGTGATGAGGACTGGGGAGAGCAGTGAAAGCCCAATCCTGCAACACTTACTGGAGTTTATTCACCAAGTTACAGCAGGAAAAAACAAGGTGTTATTTTTGACTTTTTAATTAAACTCATTCTAAAACCCTCCTGGCCACCAGCTGGTGAGATAGAGCAGAGAGAAAAAGCAAAAAAGAGAAAAAAGGTAATTAAAGAGGCCTTCCTTGCCTTGACATTGGATAGCTGCTTTTTGGCCTTTAGGCACGTGTCCAAATAAAAGGCAGCCCTTCATGATGAGATGAAATCGCAAAGAACAAGACTCACTTTTTCCATCTCCAAAGCTCCCAGTGAACCATTCAAACAACTAACCCCCCTCTGAACATTTAGTCCCAACAACACAGGGAAACGTAACCTCCATCGCCATGACACTCCTAGGAAATCAACACCTATCAACTACCACAGAATAATTAAGAGAGGATAAAAAGACAGCTGCTTTCCCTCTGTTTTTTAATCATGGATCCAGCCCCTTAAGAGATTGCTAGGTTAGAAGAGACTTAGAGAAGATTAGCCTTTTCATTAATGTCGGGGGGTGAGGGGACAGTTTCAATAACCTCCACCAGGTATGTTTGCAGCAGCGAGGCAGGCAGCTTGTTCAAGTAGTACTTCCCTGTCCCGGTGTTACAATTGAGATTATAACTGAGATTAATTCTGAGCCCAGAAGGCATGGGAGGCTTTCCAGAGCAACCATTCGAAAAGAAAAAAAAAGAAGAGAAAGGAAAAAGGAAAAAAAGAAGAGAGAAATCCTGATGTAATCAGGCCAGTGATAAATCTAAGTAAAGGAAAAAAAGAAGAGAAAGGAAAAAGGAAAAAAAGAAGAGAAAGGAAAAAGGAAAAAAAGAAGAGAAAGGAAAAAGGAAAAAAAGAAGAGAAAGGAAAAAGGAAAAAAAGAAGAGAAAGGAAAAAGGAAAAAAAGAAGAGAAAGGAAAAAGGAAAAAAAGAAGAGAAAGGAAAAAGGAAAAAAAGAAGAGAGAAATCCTGATGTAATCAGGCCAGTGATAAATCTAAGTTAGCTTGCTTTAAACAATAATTA